CTCTCCTCGTCACTGCGATTTTTCTCTAGATCTTTCTCCTGGCTATGAGGGCTTTGTCCTGTTTAAATCTTTCAGGTGCATTCAGAGGGAACAAACTCTGAGCCGGCCGAGTTTCTGCAGTCACATCCTCCTCCCACAAGCCCATTCTCTCATTCTCGCAGCCTTTGTGCTTATGTAATCTGTTTCTTGTAGACAGTGAGAGACTGAGACAGAACATAAGAAACAGGGATATTCCTTTCTTTGTTCTGTTATGCCGCTGTGCCATTAGCGACGAGTCTATTTGCGGCCCTCCATGTGTCCCGCTGGTTTTCCAGTCTGACAGCACTATTCCCAGTGGAGAATGTGGTCTTTGTTGAGGCATTCCGAGCATGCATATTATTTTCAGATGTGTGAGGTGTTGAGTCAGCAGGGTCACAGATAGCTGTCTCTGGGTGAGTGTTGAGCCGTTGTCAGAAACCTCTCCAGACAAATCAACAGCACAGCATTTCTTTGTAGTCTGAAGATGCGGTTTAATGCAAACTTTTGGTTTTACTTTTGGTCAGCGTTGAGTTCAGGTGTAATTTTTGTGCAATTGTCAGCAGAACCATTGATTTGTCTTTCTCCAAATGCTGTTATGGGGTCGTGATCCCATTATTGCACAAAAAAATACCATCTTTGGCTCTTTCTGTTCAAGCATTTCTGTAGTTCAAATTTGCAATTTGGGGTGTGCGATATCACAATTTTTAATTGTGGACATTTAAAATGTCTCCACGGTCTGCTTTTGAAGAAATATCGTAGTATCGTGCTACAGTGCTCCTTTGCAGTTCTGGCGTCTCTGTCTCAGTATACTGAACAATGCCACATACATTCACATCAAATATTAACTCAGCGGTAGTGTTACACTCACGGGACACTGCACTTATTCACAATCACAAAAGTACATTATTTTGCATGTGCTTTAAAGCCTTGCCGGTTAAACATTTCATTTGCGTGCTGTTCTGATGTGCACTTTTTCTGAGCGTGTACACCTGAAGCACACGCGCACACTAAAAAACCTGTCAAACAGCACCCGAGTACTGGACTGAGTTATCTTTCTAGTCTGATTTCGATAATAATGTGAGAAAAACACAAAGTTTACATGTGAACATAGTTGGTTATGTCTAAAGTGAAAGTAAAAAGTGAGGAAAAAAAACAGATGCGTGCCTGTGTATTAGATTCGTGCAGCTCTTAAAGGGATAGTTCTCCCAAAAATGAAGTTTCTATCATTAATTACTCACCCTTATGTCATGCCAAACCTGAAAGACCTTGGTTCATCTTCAGAACACAAATTAAGATATTTTTGATGAAATCCAAGAGCTTTCTGACCCTACATAGACAGCAACGCAGTTGAAATGTTCAAGGCCCAGAAAGATAGTGAGGACCATGTTAAAATAGTCCATGTGACATCAGTGGTTCAACTGTAATGTTATGAAGCTACGAGAATACTTTCTGTGCGCAAAGAAAACAAAAATAACGACTTTATTCAACAATTTCTTCTCTTCCGTGTCAGTCGACACATGTTCACGAGAGTATCACGACACATGCGTGTGGTGCTGCTGATGCAGGAGCCGGCGTTCTGACTCGCTGGTTCTCGTGTCCGAGCTGGAGTCATGTTCAGCGGGAAACTGCTAACTTCAGAACGCCGTCCTGCGTATAACTCATAGCCGAAACATGCTGCGACTGCCTCCATAACCTGCCCATAAACAAACAGCAAACAGCTCTGAGGACATGTTTTAACATCCAAAGTAATAATATTCTTTATCTTTATGAATAAAATAATTTATTTTAGGCAAAGCATCAGGGTCTTCCATCATGCAAAAAGACCGATGCAACACTTTTTTAGATGATTCATACGAGCCCGCCTTGTGTTGCTTTGCATAAAATTTAGCAATATACAGCACAGTAACGATTTTATAGATAAAATAAAATGTACACAAACAATCTTTTACTCTTTTGCGTCGCATGAACGGAGAATTGCACACAAAATGATGTTGAATTGTAAACACACTTGATTACGTCTTAAATGAACGTAAACAGCAGGGAGAACGTGTCTCAATACATTGCATCCATTGCAGGTGTGCTTTGGTTTTAAAGGGACAGCAGCCTAATTTAGTTGCTATTGTCCGAGTCATTGATGTTAATCAAGCAACAAAAGAAAGACAGAAAATCACGCACTGCTCTTGAATGTAAAACTTTAGTAGCCCTAAAGATTAATCTAAATTGATTTATAAAAATAAGTGTCTGCTTGAAAGAATGAAGAATATGGTAACCGAGTTGCTATAAAGAATGCATAATTAGCTTATATAACCATTGGTATTTCATTAATAAGACGACCATGTTCTTGTTCTTTATGAGAAGTGGTTTTATTTAATTTTAACATAAAGGCATGTTGTGTGTCACCGCAGTTAAATTGGTGTCTATCATGACAAAACCTTAATATCAAGCCTATAGAATGTGTTTGGAAATTTTAGAGAAATGCTTAATTAAATGCATTACACTGTAACTAAACCCATTAGATTTTAGCCGACTAAATTTACTCTAGATTTAGTCAACTAAAACTCGACTAAAACTAAAAACAATTCAGATGACTAAAATATGACTCAAACTAAATGGCATTTTAGTCAAAAGACTATGACTAAAACTAAATAAAAATTTGCTGTCAATAAATCAATAAATAACTGGGTTATGTCTGACCCAAGCGGCAACCTTCCAGTCTCTCTCTTGAATCCAACACGGAAGTGACTTAAACTGTAATTCATCGACTGGCCGCTAGAGACTGGCCCCAAAAGGGAGTCAAATCCCATAGACCCCCATGTTAAAATGCCCAACTTTACAGCAGAAAAAAATGTTTACAGCCTGGTACAAAAAATGGTTTTGGTCTATATTGCAAATTTTGCCCATCCTGACAACTGTGAGGGGGTGAATTTTTTTTATTACTCATCCATTTAAATTATATTAAGTCTTAAAGTTCTGAATAATTAAGGGGCGTGGCCACTTGAGTGGCAGGTGGATTGCTGTCACCACTGTCGAGCTAGGAGGGCATGGTTTCAGCAAACAGCGATTATCCAGGAGTGACTCGCTGCCAAGATGGCGACGGCTGGCTCCGCCCACTTTGGGCTTCAAAAATGCTCTTCAGAAACCTACGGGTGACATCACATGTTTTTATACATTCCATGATCAAAATCTACCCAAACACTGAAAAATAACCCAAAAAAATGGCTAAATCCAGCATTTGGGTTGAAAAAATAACCCAGGATTTTTTAGAGTGAACAAAATACAATATATTAAAAAACATCAAGGTTAAAACTAAGAACAACAAAAACTACCAGATTTGAGGCCATTTAATTTAATTAGTGTTGTCTTCACAGTGTTTCACATCATTTGTCAGACTTGAGATGTGAAGCAACTAAAGTAATTTTTATGTAAATCTGTTATTATAGGTTTTTTTTATAGTTAATGAATATGTTGTTGTTGGCTAATTTTCACTTTCATAATAGTTTTGGTTAATGATAATGATGATAACGTGACAAGGAGCTCCCATATGCAACTGTTTTTTCCTTTACTGTTATGGTAAAGAAAGACATCAATACTTCAACTTCTGACTTGTATCTGATTTCAGGTTTACCCACATTAAATATCACATAAAGCAAGGGGAATACTGGCTGAATAACAGCGCTGTGCTTTGGACTGTGGTTTGACTGAAGATGTAAAACTGGACTTTCTGTGGTGTTGCGGATCACTGTTAAACTAACGGCTGCAGTTTGTGTGCACATTGAAAGAGCTTCCAGAACTTTGTGAGGCAAACTTCCTGTTTGTAATTCTTCCAATTATCCTAGGTACAGACAGAAATGATGTGAACACAACACAGAGCCTCATCTCCCCCGTTCAGTCCATAAATATCAAACACAGGAGTCTGCTCCATTGTCAGGTTGACTTTCTTTCCTAATGTTTTCCATTTTCTGTCCTTCCATTGCTTTTATCTTGTATTCATGTAGTCGGATTGGTTCTTTATCAGCAGGTGGTAGTGGATTCATCATTACACTAAATGTGAGACACATACTCTCCAGTGATCAAAGCAGCTGTCTATACTATCAGCACATCTAATGACAGCCGGCACTTATTTAGTTCTGCCAAAGCATTATTATATGACTTCTTCAAAACTTGCTTACAAGGTAGTTGTGTGTGTATGTCAGTGTCAGTTTGATTGGCTTTCATGCATGTAATGCTGATTTTCTAAACATGTTACTGCAGGGTGTGTTAAAGTAATAGTTCACCCGCAAATTTTTCCATACCTGTATTAATTTCTTTCCACTACAAAACACAAACGCACCATAAATGTAGCATAACTGTGTCTATGATTTCTGCTTTTTTAATTCCAAGTCTTCTGAAATCAAATCATAGCTCTGTATGATGCACGTACAGAAGTCTAAAGTGAAAGAGCTTCAGTGGAAGATTTTTAACAAATAATGATTTATTATATTTCAGTCTGTTCCTTTTTTAAGGCTTTTAATAAAGCGCAGAAGTCATATGAACCACGTTTAATGGAGCTTGATATATCACTCTATGGCCATTGTATGAAAAAAAATCTGTGTTAATTTTATGATGGCTAATAGTTAATTAAACACTTAATAGTTCTCACTCCAAAGAACATGAGATTTGTTCTTTTATTACTTTTAAGCAGCCATATTCTCAGAGAGTGCCGTCTAAGTTAGGATGGCATTTTTTTGGGTTTTGTGGTGCTTCAGGATCCTGGCATCGATCCTCTCCACTGGTGCCTGTCAGATGCAGGTGGAGACTGTGACATGCGAACCAGCGGCCTGCAAAACATGACAGAGTGCTGCAACCAATCACTGTCAACAACACTCAACACTGCCATACGTAACCCTGGCAACCAAGACCACTTTGAACCAATGAGATTTTCTCTCCAAACTTCTTTGACTAACGAGCATCACTGACCGAGGCCTCTGTGTTTCTATCTTTAGGGGCCACAAAAGGAAACTGGAGGAGGCCAGAGAAGATAACGCCGATAATGATGATGATGATGGCAGCTCCAGTAAAGACTCCAATGAGGATGAGGAGGGCAGCAGCTCGGAGGCTGATGAGATGGCCGCTGCGCTGGAGGCGGAGCTAAATGATTTCATGTGAGCTGATTGGATGACGATGCATATGAACTATTCTGTTCTCATAAGGTACCTGAGACAAAACATGCTTTTGTGTCGCTGTTATACAGCGCAAGTAAGTGTGTGCATGTGTGTGTGTGAATAAAACGAATGGATTTACAAAGTAGATAGATATGTACAGATAGAGTTTTAGTTGGACAAGTCCAACACAAAGTCATTTTATTGTGAATTTACTTACAGTACGTAGGGTGTGGGTGAAGTATAGCTTCTGTGTCTGATGTTTTACTTAGTTTCTGTTCCAAAATTATTTTTTATATAAATGTAAATGAAATTAAATATTTCAACTAATTGGTAATGAATGCCAAAGAGTCTGAAGCGGGTCTGCAGCTGAGAGCTGAGAGATGTTTGGAAGGGTTTTTGGTCCTCACCAGCAGTCAAACTCAGACGTCCGAATGTGTCCAGTGTCGTCTCTTTCCTTTGGTTTTGTGCGTCGTTTCGTGACTGACACTGTGCTGCACCAATCCCAGAATACCAGCACCTTTAGACACACCCACAGCCACTATTACCAAAAAACTCACAACTGCTACACCACGTGAAGAACTGCTGAGAACGTGAAATGTAAAATCAGTTCATCGGTAATAAGCGTGCAACAAAAGATCTTATTTACACCGTTATGGTTCGTGACTGATTAGTTACGATTGTTTGCATATTAAAGGAGTAGTTCACAAAAATTGCTTTTATAGTTCTGTCATCATTTACTCACCCTTGTGTCGTTACAAAGCAAGAAACACAAAATGAGATATTAGGCAGAATGTCTGAGCTGCTTGTTTCATACAGTGTTAATGCCACAGTCCAAAATGAGCACCTTGCATATCCTTTACAAATCCATAATTTACATCATCTGAAGTCATAAGATAGCTTTATGTGAGGAAAATACAGGAAAGTCTTTGTCCTCTTAAAAGTTTAACATCATGAAATTTGGTCACAAATGGATATCAATGCACCATTTTAATAGTCCATATGGCTTTTCAGATCGTAGATAAAAGAGCTGCTCAGACGTTCTGCGCCTTTATTCGTTTTTTACAAAAGAAAGGAGACACTTTGGAACAGCATGAGCGAGAGTACATGATGACGGACTTGTCATGTTTGAGTGAACTGTTCCTGTAACTACCTGCAAATTGATGCTTCTGATCTTAATGCTCCTAAGATGCTAAGATCCACTTTTTACTCTGTGATGTCAGCGTACAGATATCTTCATTTGGCTTCAGGTGCTGATAGTGAACACTGTGGCAGCGTTAAACCGGGTGTTTGGTTGGCTCTCGTGCCACCCTGAACCATCACTGTACACACTGATCAGATCTGGACTTGTAGGCATCAAGACTACCCGTCTAAGACCAGTCTCATGAATTCACTGGATCTAGATGGTTTTCTTCTGCCGAGCTGCTTGAATGATGAGACGTCCAGATCTAACTCAGTTTCAAATGTTTCTCAGAGGTTTGTGCACCTCATCTGTCTGTGTTGTTTTTGACTGATTTGACGGATTTTCTTTCACTTTCATTGTGGTGTTGTTATTTTCAACAATGTAAAGTATTTGTATAATCTATTTCGTACTTGACAAAGAAAATGCTTTTCATTTAATAAAGATTTGTTTTATAAACCAGTGTTTTGAGGGGTTTTTGTATTGTTGAGTGCAGTGTATTGTGTTATAATAAAAAAAACTCAAAAACTTGAGGCAACCAGCTTAAATATACTCAACATATTTGAAAAATTGTTGTATTAACCTAACAGTTAAAGCAGGTCTGTGCAAACTTCAGTTCTAAAAACGTTAAAAAATATATATACTGTAACTTGTGGATTTAAGTTCAATAATCTTACATTTTAAGTTAAGCGGAGCATGAACATTACTGTACATGATAGAACTGTCTTAGTTTGTATAGAGTTACTATATTTGTATACACCAATACAAGTTTAGTATATACTCACTGAAATGGAAGAAACTTCATCAAAGAGAACACTAATCACAGTAATGGTGACATATACATAAGCTAAAACATCTTGACCAATAGCCGATGCCGATATACATTTCCTTTTGTTTTGAAACAACACCAAGTCTCTCTTGTGCAGAAATTCTAAACTAATTATTTTAAATTTTTATTTGTTAGAAGTAATAAACATTCTTGAGAGCACATTGAATAAGTATATAAAATAACTTTTTTAGACCGATGCAGTTGAAACCTTAACGTTTTATTTGTGGATTTAACATTAATAGATGGTCTAAAGCAAAAGATCTGTAAAAATTCAAAAAATCTTTTAGAGCTCCTTATATTTAAGTGTTCTTAATCCATTTGAAAAAAATATATTTCATATTAATGAATGAATCTGTGTACATTAAATTATTTCATTTACAAGTGTCATGCTTGTGATTTTTATTCATGTATAGCTTCTGACCTTTAAATCAATACAGACACGTGATTTTATGACGTCAATTACCGCTTTATTTATATAGAAACACCAGTATCTTAATGTTCTTCGTGTTTATTTTTTTTTTTTATTGTTAATTTACTTCATATTTTATTACAAGTAGGCCTCCTAAATAAATAAAATGCCTTACTGCTGCTGCACGTGCTAGTGACTGTTGACTCTTATCGCACACCGGACGCAGCATTCCATACGTTCATTCCCTAAACGCGGTGATCCAAAACAAATGTAAATCAGCATTTAGGCTATAGTTCGCTTCAAGAACTAGTACACTGCTGACGTGATCTTTTTATTACTAGTGCGCCGATGTTTACATTTTAAGCTTTTATCGGCCGATTCCGATAACAATCCGATAATATCGTGCATCCCTAAAAAAAAAGGGCTTAAGAGAAATAGGTTCTGCAGAATTTCCCTGACGTAAAATTAGCTGAAGCTCATTAGGCCTGCAGTGCTGCTTCAGTAGTGATTTGACTCTGGCCACTGTTGTAGGGGAAAATCAGTCTGGACGCCTCCTGTCTCTATGATCCTCTTTCATCCACCCGCTCGAAAGCGTTCAATAAAACGCACTCAAGAGTCTTTCAGTGCAGTCAACACAGCTTTACTGTGAAGCAGCACATCTGGAATACCGATGATGGCGATTTACAGTGCAGTCGAGTGGATGAGTTTCTCAAATGTCTGAAAACACTCCAGACTTTGAGGATTGCGCTTTAGATTCAGTGATTCCTCTTCATTGTAAATCACTACAGATCCCACAACTACTCTACTGTATGTCTTGAGGTTGTGCTGAAATCTCTTCACACGCCAGTGTATTAATCCTGAGATTAAGGAGTAGATCCCGCAATGGGCTTTTCAGAATAACCGTAATCCCACTAATCTTTTAATTGCGTCATCTATGCGATGAATATTAGCTGTATTGTGGACAGTTTTGAATTTAATTAAAAGCTCAATGTGCAGTCTCAACTCTTCTCTCTTCAAACGTCAGTGCTGCGTTAATATATAAGGAATTATAACTACTTATGCAATAATGTACAGTGACCCTAAAATTATTTGGACACTTATGTAACACTTAAAAAGTTCTGAATTACTTTGAACTTTTATTGTTCTTGAAAGGAATTGCATTATATATAGAAATATACAAATCTTGCCAATTGGCATATATTTTAAAGAAGCATAATTCACTTTTCAAGCAAATCATGAAATAATCAAAAAAATAATGGAGCAACTATAATAGATTTTTAACTATAACTATAATAGATTTATTTGAGATACTGCTAGGGAGCTTAATTTACCTGGTAAATCTGTTCTTTCACCCGTTCAGATTCAAATGGTTGTTTGTCTGTGAAATGGGCTTTGTTTGGCTCTCAGAGATGTGGTGAGTATACATACATGAGCCCTTTCTCTTGCTGTTTCTTGCTCTCTCCTCGTCTGTTCTCAGGGCTGTGCGGTTGGAAAGGTCAGCACAGTCCAGCAGAAACAGCTGCTTTATGTTTTGACTGACAGCTGTATCAATGGAGCTCTGTGAATTGCTTCTTCTCATCACTGATTTTCTGCCATGTAAGTTTGCCGGTTTCCACTGGGGAAATACTATGAGTGAAGCTCAAAAAGCCAATAAATAGGTTTTTTTCCCCCGTGTGTGTGTGTGTGTGTGTGTGTATTGTTGATCATGTACACTGGCAGTGTAGCAGTTCCCTCAGGGAACAGAAATGATTAAGACCAGGCAGATGTTTTGCTGTCTGATTTCTGTGTTTATGATTTTTACTGAAGGTCAGGCTTCTTGGACAGACTAAAATGGGGTTTATTCAGAAGTAACTGTTTCTGAAGAAGGTAACTTTTTAAAATGAATTACAAAAGCAACACTGCAAATATACTATACAGGGAATAATTAGTGAAATTGTAATAAAAATAAAAATTTGCTGAAAATGTACTTACCCCACAGGCCATGTAGGCCACATGTAGTGTTTGTTTCTTTATGGGAACAGATTTGTAGAAATGTAGCATTTCATCACTTGTTCACCAACAGATCCTCTGCAGTGAATGGGTGCCGTCAGAATGAGAGTCCAAACAGCTGATAAAAACACCACAATAATCCACAACACTCCGGTCCATCAATTAATGTCTTGTGAAGTGAAAAGCAGGTCCTGAATTTCAGTGCAGGATTGCACATGTATCGCATAGTTTAACTCATTTCCGCAGGTTTCGGGTTTATAATGCAGGAAATTCCCAAAAACATTTTATATTATATACATTTAACACTAAAACAGGCAGTGGAAAATGATCAGCAAAAAATCATTTCATGTCACTTTTTATATCACCTGGACTTAATTAAAACATATTCAAAGGGATTTTTAAAATATTTTATATATTTTGGATTTTGTAAGTTGTATCTCCCAGGATATGTTGCCCTATTAGTGTATAAAAAACAGCCAAAGTGATCAATAATTCTATAGTTTATTTGATGCAAACAAATTTGTAATATTCAAAATATGCTGCATGTATGACATGTCTAAGTGACCTAAAATTGAGGCCTAGACATTTCTTGTATTTTGACATTGCTGAACTGTTTTTCAGATGTGTTTGATCAGGGTTGGAGCTGAACTCTGCTGCATGGCGGCCCTCCAGGAGCAGGGTTGGTCACCTCTGTTCTACCATAAAATGTGCTGTGTGAAACCCTGCAAGAAAACAATCTAGTTAAAAATGCAAAGATGTAGTCAACTAAATGTAATATCAGTTTTACATGCATATATTAACATTTGCACAATTTTTTAAATAAAAAAAAATAGAAGGGGCACTGGGTACAGGGGGGTACAGAACATAAGGATCTTCCCTAAGGGCCCCGGCCCTGGAATGCGACTTCTACTGAGGGGGATCCCCTCCCCTTGATGTGATTCACAAGAGTATTTTTTTTTATCAAGGAGGTCCCCCTTCCCTAGACTGATTCCTACAGTAGAAACATCATTCTTTGAGTTTCTCCTCCAGCTTCCACAGAGCAGCTCCGTCTCCATTTATCAGATGCAACTGCCAGACCAATTCATCACAAAGTGGTCAGCCAGCATCCCGTTCAGGACATGGGAAAGTCACAGTGTGTTTGTAGTGTAATGTTATTGATAGCCACTGTATGTGATTATTCAAACATAAAAGACATGAATGTTTGCACATAATATTTAATGTTGCCCGTGTGAGACGGTTTATGAGCAGAGCTTTTAGATAAGCTATGGGAGATCATAAAGTGGTCGAAACATTGTATAAATTCTGCAGTAACTCCCTCACAACCGAGAGTGGAAATAATGGTGAAAGACAATTACCCCACCATCACTCATAAAGATAGTGAAAATGGCCCACGGCTGTAATATCCTGAAAAAAAAGTGGACTAATGAATTCAGAAGCACTGTTCTCAATCCACTGCTTAAATTACACAAAAAGCATGAATTTCAGGTTTTCTTGTCCCTTGAAATATCACATTGTTTTATTATATTTGGCTGTTTAAAGGTTTAAGCAATATATATTATACATTTTAAAAACAATTATAAGCATTTTCTTATTTTGTGGGCGTTTGGTTAGTAAATGTTTATTGCATTATTTCATGTGTAATCTGTTAACTTCATGGTGTTTTGTTTGTATGATTTTTTTTTTTTTTTACATATACAGTGGTGTGAAAAAGTGTTGGCCCCCTTCCTGATTTCTTATTTTTGAAGCATACAGTATACAGCTCTGAAAAAAAAATGAAGAGACCACTCAATTTTTTCTTCAATCAGCATCTACATGTATGGCAGCAATTCCATTCCAGTGTCTGTTGAATTCCAGCACAGGCACACCTCATTCTGCTTAATGAAGTACTGATCAGGTGACCACCTCAACCAAATCTTATTTAATGAGAAGTAAAAAAAACACTGCTGCGGTCATCACTATCCTCTTGCAATAGGACCAGCTGGATGGCAAAAACAGTGCTAGTAGTACCTCAAAAGTAATTGTAATCAAATAATAACTATTGACCATGCCAGAAGAGTTGAAAAGTTTTGAGTGAGGAACAGAAGGGTTCAATTATGGCTTTACTGGCAGAGGGATACAGTGAGCGTCAGGTTGCTTCCATCCTTAAAATTTCAAAGATGGCGGTTCATAAGAACAAGGTCAAGCTGCAGACCGGCAGAGATCGAAAACGACTCTCCACTGACCGGGATGACCGCCAACTCATTCGAATATCACTCAACAACCGT